TTTTTTTTTTTTTTTTTTTTTTTTTTTTTTTTTTTTTCTTTTTCTTTTTTTTTTTTTTTTTCCAGGGAGAGGGGGGAGGTGGGCAGGGAAGAAGTGCACTGCATTAGTGACCTTGATTAGCCATGTCAGCCAAAGTACCAGCCGAACACACTGGATCGATGGGTTTGCAAGGGAAAGGTATGGCTCTACTCTTTAGGGCTAAAATTAATTTTGGGTAGAATTACCAATATGATTTGACTAAATTTGGTCTTTGGCTTTTCTGATTAAAACAAAGTTTGCTTCTTCCCTGCCTGATGTGGCAGCAACCTGCTTTCTAAGGACAAGAAAATAAAAATAAATATTTATGAAAACAAATGCATTACTATGTTGGGAGGAAACCTGGTCTCCTTTTGAAGACTGCTACAAGACATTAATTAGGTTACATTTCCTTCTCTGAACATCTGAAAGTTGGCAGTGCATTCCTGAACCTCTAAAAACCACAGAAATTACTGTTTCACAGGACTATTGATGAGACAGTGACAGAGCTTTAGGACACTGACAGTGTGCTGAGGGTAAGGTGCACCTTCTTTCACTCAGTGAATGCAACAGACAAGGATTTGGGCATGATGGGAGAGGAAAAGATTCAAAGAGGCTGCAAAACTTTCTCCCTTTTGTCATATTGCTCTTTGTCTGGGCTGTTTGCTATGACTGTGCACCTATGTCCATTCAGTTCCAGCTGTGTTGACCTCTGGTTAAAAAAAGAGGTCATTGCCTCTTGTAAATACAGGATCTGGACTGTCATCTCAAAGTTTGGAGTTGATGATTCCATCCAGTCCAGCTCACATCAGCCTCATTCCTCAGAGGCTCCATGTGAACCAGCAGGACTCCATCAGTGAGTCAGATGAGCTGAAGAAAAGGTCTCTAGAGTGCTGATCTGGGTCTCATGTCTGAACAACTTGATCTGAAAACAGAATATTTTATGTGTTCATTGGACAGCTGGTTTGTACTGACATGATGAGAAGAACATTAGCTGATATTAGTTATTCAGATGTGAGAGAGAAATTTCACTTTTAATATATTATATCTATTAATCTATCAAACAACTGGTTGCAAAAGCCTTCTTTATAATTGGCTTATTTCAAGCTTATAGCAGTAGAAATCATACACAACTCTCTCTATTCTGATAGTTAACACTTAGAAGAGAGATAACTGGGAGTGGAGAAGAGATGAAGAGAATCATTCAGGTTGTTTTGCTTCTTAGGTTTTTACTCCAAAAGATTTATAGTTTTGTCTTTGTGGCAGTAGTAGCTCATGGGATTAGATGTGAAGTTTGTACTGCTACAAAGTTTAATAAAAAAGATCTTCACTGAGCCAGCCTTCCACAGTTGCCTAACTCTGTTTCAGGGGTCTACAACATGAGTCTGGAAGGCTCAGATCCCTTAGGCCAGATCACCATCATGTTGCTGACTTGATGGAAATAGGACGTTCAGGAGATTTGTCTCCAGAAGGCATGCAGCTTCATAGCTTTTGCAGGAATAAGAGGGCTCTGTTCTGAAGTATCAGATAAAAGGCAGAAAATAAGGCTTAATTTTTTAATAAGCAAATTAATACAATATTACAGAAACAAGGTATAACTGTGATACTTGAGGGCTTTAATGGTGGTAAACTGAGCATTGCCATGAAGAAAACAATTAGGGCATTTACCTCTCCAAAAGGAACAAAAAGGTCTGATGAGAGGCAGCCATGCTGAAAGGGCAAAAGTAAACCACTTAGAGCATCCCACACTGATGCAGAGCACAAGCTTAGCCACTTACTAACACAAGTGCTTTGTGATTTGTGTGCTGTACCTGAGATTGCTTAGCCGGGTTTACACTCAGAATCAACTCTATGCTGTCTAATGAAGTTTGCAGACAGCAAAATGGATTCTTTGAAGAGTTCTTGACCGAGACATTCTTGAAGCTCAATTTAAGAAATCTTACATATATTGACTTTCTGTACTATTGCTTGTAGGTGGGGAGTCCACCTTGTTTCTTATATTCTTTTACCTTAATGAAACCTATGACTGTCATTTGATGATTTGTTGGGGTAGATCAGTTAAAACCTGAATGAGGCCAGGCAACCATTCTGAATTGTCAGCTACTGATTTAATTCCGATTTTAAGTTAATTAATCTCTAGTATTTACTTTGGTGAGGATTGTCATGGTTGTGAGGGTTGATTTGA